CTCCCATACCTTAAGAGATGCATCCTGTTTTCACCACCCATCGGATACCACTCAGTGCTCAACAAATGAGACCAACCACTCAGACACTATCAGATTTTTGAAACCAAAATCTCCTTTCCACTTAGCCGCATTTAATGTCCGCACACTCTATCAAATTGGTCAACAAGCCGCCTTAGCTAGAATCCTTGAGACCTTCCATTTAGATGTATGCTGTGTCTCCGAAACACGCATACAAAACCCTAATTCAATCTTCTCCTTCCGTTCTCCAGATCCAACCCCATCCTCACGCTTCACTGTCTGTGTGTCGATATCAGAAGCTCGCGGTGTTGCTGGTGTTGGAATTGCGCTAAATGTCAAGGCCGAGCGTTCATTTCTCGATTGGATCCTGGTTAACAGCCGACTTTGCGCCGTACGTCTGGATGGTTCAGCACGAGTTAAAAGCTATAGAACGAAACGTCTATGTTTACTCGTCGTATCGGCCTATGCACCGACAGATTGCAGTCCACCAGAAGTGAAGGATGAATTCTACAGGGACCTCTCTCAACTGCTCCGAAGTGCTCCGAAGTCAACGGACATAGTGGTGGTTGCTGGAGACTTCACTGCTCAAGTGGGATCCCTGGACGAACCAGAGAGGCGACTTGGAGGTTCACATGCAATCCCAGCCAAGAGGACTGACAAAGTAGAACGCCTACTCTAACTTTGTGCTAACCACGGACTGTTTCTGTCAAGCACCAACTTCTCGCACAAAAAACGCTACTGTCTTACATGGAGACCGCCAATCGCTTCACAGCGCTGGACACAAATTGACCACATTACCATTAGCCACCGCTGGAGAGGATTCATTGAAGACTGCCGCCCCTACTGGTCAACAACCGTGGACACGGACCAGATTCCTCTCTACGCCTAGTAAACAAACGCAGAAAAGCGACCGAAAACAGATGCCTAAGATACAGTGTCAGCAATGGTTGCAAATCGGCCTTCGAAGCGGAACTATCAGATCATCTCTCAGCTCAACCATCAGCCGGAGCACTCAGTGAGCACTGGACGCCAATCAAGGAAGCGATCCAAATCTCAATCAAAACAACAGCAAATTCTGACTCACCATCAAATAAAATACGATGGATCTCTCCGACCTTGGTTGTCCTGCTGGACGCTGGCAAAGCCATTCCTTCGGATTCAAA